AGCGGGATTGGAGCCTGGCCTGCTACTCCTCAGTGTGCGGCCACCGTGCAGAGTAAGCACGGCTAGTAGAGACTGCGCATCATTGTAACCCTTCTCTAAGATGTTTAATTTCACTTCTCAGACTAACACCATCTGACACTTTCTTAGCCCGATGATTGAGCGTCATCATATAATACATTGTTTAAATGCATGCCTATACAGGCCACCATACCTCAAAAGGGATTACCGTTGGCACGGCTATTTTAATACACACAATAGACAGGAAGGAAAATATCAGTGGGCCAGCATAATGCGCATGCATCGTGTACGTTGACTCAAGAGCGCAGAAGCGTGGTCACCACATCTACGTCTCTATATAAGGAACGAAACGGGTGGACTTCTCCACAAATCTGGCTGTCGCCTGATGAAGCTGGTTGTAATTACTGATGAAACGTCGTGCTCAGATTGTAAATGCTGTGGCTTGGCTCTCCAACACACCGGTTAGTGCTGTACCAGTGACGAATTGGCCACGTTCTGTTTACGTGACAACCCTTACTAGTTGGCTGTGTCGGGTGGTGTAGGGTTTAACGATACATTTATATATTTACTATTATGAAGAGCTACGTGTTATACTTGATATACGTTCCCACGTCTGTGCTGTCCGCATTCCCCAACCAGTACTGACCAGCGCGGTGAAGTATGGTAAAAGTGCACGCACGACCGACACAGATGTGAGGAGGGCCTCAATCCAGCAGTTAATGACACGGATACTGATGATGATGATGGTGGCCCAAAACCCGGGCGGAGACTGGCCCAGACACGTCGCGACTTGCAGCGCATTCCGGCACCAAAACGCACGGGCTGGGTAGGGGAGAGCGATCTCCCCCCACCCCTCATCCCCCAGTGATCCCTCTCCACCCCCTCCCAACACTGGTGACATTTTATTTCTGGCGGGGGGGGGGGGGGTGAGATTACAATGCATTATACAGCGATCGCTTTAAATTCCCCGTCTCTTTATTTTGACGCTGATCCCGTGACAGCTATTTGGCACAACTGATTATTCGCGCTCCATTAACGGGTGGTGAGTGACGCGCGCATATCCCTCTATGCGTCTTCTCCCTCCCAAAGTGCCCCCCCTCCCCCCACAAAGCCCACGATCCAAATACCCCCCTCCCCCCACACGCTGCCCGCCTTCCCCACCCCCCCTCATCTTCCGCCCCCCACCCCCCCGCCCCCACTTCGCTCCCCGTATCCCCCATGAGTCCCGAACACGCAGGCGGTTGCGCTCTTTGCTGAAAGGACTTCGCATCTGAGTGAATGCAATGATGAATAATAGTGGGAATCAAATAATAACAAGTGGGGGGATGATGGTGCTGACGGCTGTGCTGCTACACTGCACGTACGGCCCGCGTGTCAATCCACCGCTGGATGGGTGAAGTGGCCTCCCAGCCCACGGCGCGGCAGGCGTGGAGGCTTTGTAGTTGGCAGGGTGCGGGTTGGTGCTGGCAGGACGCATAGGAGTACAGGACAACAGTGGCTTTTGCTGCGCCGCTCTCCGTTGACCATCGCCTTCGTGAGCGCAGCCCCGCAGCCGCCTAGAGCAGCCGGCATGCAAGCAGGGTGATCCCCATACAGTGTGATCCCCATACAGTGTGATCCCCATACAGTGTGATCCCCATACAGTGTGATCCCCATACAGTGTGATCCCCATGCAGGGTGATCCCCAGACAGGGTGATCCCCATGCAGGGTGGTCCCCATGCAGGGTGGTCCCCATGCAGGGTGGTCTCCATGCAGGGTGATCCCCATACAGGGTGATCCCCATGCAGGGTGATCCCCATGCAGGTTGATCCCCATGAAGGGTGATCCCCATGCAGGGTGGTCCCCATGCAGGGTGATCCCCATGCAGGGTGATCCCCATGCAGGGTGATCCCCATGCAGGGTGATCCCCATACAGGGTGATCCCCATACAGGGTGATCCCCATGCAGGGTGGTCCCCATACAGGGTGATCCCCATACAGGGTGATCCCCATGCAGGGTGATCCCCAGGCTCATCCCGGAATGCTTCCGCGATCCCACATAATCCGGCCCATTACGCGTGGTTTGGTCATACGCAATAATGCCAATACCATTACAGTAATGATCTTTATCCAAGAAGGCCCTCTATGTACCCACGGCTCTGAATTGCGATGCTTGGTCAATTAGTCCATGGGCTAGAGCAGGAACTGGTACCACCGGAGTAGATTCGTATCGTGCCGACGACACGAATTTATTCTGGGCTCGTGGACTAAATTGTTGTTTGATGCGAGTTATGTAACTGCCCTGTGTAGGGCTCTTTGTCGAGCTGCTTGCTGGATGAAGGCCTCCCCATGCGCTGTAGACCGCGGGAGTTGTTCGGGAGTTGTTCGGGAGTTGTTCGGGAGTTGTTCGGGAGTTGTTCGGCCTTACCGACCCGCGCTGCTTCATGCGAGTGGCCGAGTGCGAGGGAGGTGGTGGCGGAATTCACTACCAACGATTTAGAGTTTCCCGGCCACGGGCCAACATCAGTGGCGAGTGATATCTGAAACACTCCACCCAGCCAACTACCACCCTCCATCATCATCATCATCTTGCCTTAACAAGCGTGAAGTATGGTCAAACGACTCTTACAGTGACACAACGTATAGGAAGGCCTTCATCCAGCAGTGGTTTGACGAAGGGCTGTAGTTCGTGTTTATTATTATATCATCAGAGTTGATTGTAGGTATCTAGGAAAGTCTCAGCGAGTCTCAAGATGATGATTTACCCGGAGTGGTGTAGCGTGGCCGCCATGGGTGCTGGTGCATGGAATTAATTGGGGGGCAGCCCCCCCCCTTCGCGGCCACCCACCGCCCTTCCCCTCTCCGTGACCGTGCTTGTGGACTCATTCGGTCCGTGGGTCTCGGTGCAACGGCACCGCCTTGGTAGCTACGTCTGTCCTGGGCCTGTACGAATTGTGGGCTTTGAACAGGTCCATAACCACGGATGAAATATGGATGTGATAACCACCGCAAAGGTCATTACATATTAATCCACGTTTATTGGCCATATAAAGAAATGTGTATGACCAAAGTTTTTTACACCTTGCGTGATAGGAATTCTCTCTCCCGCCGACGGGGGCATTGGAATAATCGCTTCTTCTTGAGCACGGGAAAGCGCCCAACCCCCAACATATTTTATCTCAGGCTCTAGTCCCCACATTTGTATGGAACTATGTTTGAGTTGTGTATCGCCCCTTGAGCCAATCAGATCAAGGGGCAGCGTGCGGATTACGAGAGCGGCCCCAACCACCGGTGCCGCTCCTCCCCGGCTCGCACGCTGCCGCCTCTCGGCCCTGCACCGGTGGCCTCTCGGCCCTGCACCGGTGACCTCTCGGCCCTGCACCGGTGACCTCTCGGCCCTGCACTGGTGACCTCTCGGCTCGCACGCTGCGGCCTCTCGGCCCTGCACCGGCGGCTTCTCTCGCGTGGCGCAGTCCCCCCCCCCCCACTCTCTCTCATTGCTCGTAATGTAGCCTTGACACACACACACAGGGAGAGTGGAGTTCGTTACGTGGCTTGTGCACCACCGCGCCATCGCAGCAGGATCACAGCGCAGTGTTCCCACAAAGCAATCGCGTGCCGCTGCAATGGCAAATACAAGGGGATGGAGGGGAAGAGGGTGGTGGAGAGGGGAGGGGTAGAGCAATAGCCCCTATTCCCTCATCATCGAGACCCGTAATATTTGAATTGTATTGATATTTAGTGTAGGAGAAAACATTGCATGTTTGTTTGCAGTTAAGAATGTCGGGCCCGCTTCAAACGCCTTTCTCCCCCTACGGAGGTTCCAGATCGGCTTCTACTCTGGCTCCTCTGTGGGTACGGGGTGGGGGGTTGATATGGGGGGCTGAAGATCTCCCCAACCCGCGGGCCACGCCAGAAGCGACCTCCTCCTCCTGCTGCTGCTGCGGGGCCGCGAGGCCTCCTCCACCTCGCGAGGCGGGGGGAGGGGCGGCGCGAACCCCCCGCGGCGCCGGTAGCCGAACACACACAGCAAGCGCGTTATTGGCTGGCGCATCTACTAAGTGATGGAGTGTGTGCGTGATAATGTAGTGGAGTGCACGTGTGTAAGTAGGAGTGCGTGTGTGTGTGTGTTCACGCGCTGCGATGCGAACTCGGCGACCCGAATTCGATTCCCGCTCACGGCCAACACCGGCGACCAATATCTGAACCGATCCTGCGCCTCCCCAAGGCCGATTTAGCGTGAAATGAGTGCCTGGTGCGGTGTGTAAACATCGCCCCTGGGGAGACAAAGGCGGCCGGGCGTGGTGTTGGCCACCCACCCCCTCGTGTGCCGTGTCGACCTTTACAGGTGCTCGCTAACAGTTATTGCCCCAACAGTATGTTAAAGGTTACACGGCGATTTTCGTATTTGTCTTTGTAGTAACATGTAGTAACAATGTAAACACTACACATGAGGAGCGGTGGCGCAGTGGTTAGCGACGAACCGAGTTCAATTCCCGCTCACGATCAATGACTCGTTCACTGACTGTGACCACTGTGACCACTGACTGTGACCACTGTGACACTGACTGTGACCACTGTGACCACTGTGACCACTGTGACACTGACTGTGACCACTGACTGTGACCACTGTGACCAGTGTGACACTGACTGTGACCACTGTGACACTGACTGTGACCACTGTGACCACTGTGACCACTGTAACCACTGTGACCACTGTGACCACTGTGACCACTGACTGTGACCACTGTGACCACTGTGATCACTGTGACCACTGTGACCACTGTGACCACTGACTGTGACCACTGTGACCACTGTGACACTGACTGTGACCACTGTGACACTGACTGTGACCACTGTGATACTGACTGTGACCACTGTGACCACTGACTGTAACCACTGTGACACTGACTGTGACCACTGTGATCACTGAATGTGACCACTGACTGTGACCACTGTGACCACTGACTGTGATCAGTGTGACACTGACTGTGATCACTGTGACACTGACTGTGACCACTGTGACACTGACTGGCATCACTAAGCTGGGATTGACTCCGGGGGCTCGCAGGGCTGTCGGGGTGGAAGACGGCAATCGATGATCTCTCTAAGCACGAGAGGGAGCTGTGGAGGAACGGGTGCCGTTCTCGGCGTCATCGTGAGCGGCTCAACAAGGAGGCAGCTAATGCGGCTACTCATCGAGTCATCATCGGCTTCATCACTAACAGCAAACACCACGGACGTACAATTAGCACGGTGGGCCACGAACGAAGTTCAACATACACGCGCCACCATTATCACTGTCAACATCGTCATCATTGCTCGCCATTGTTAATATCACCACCACCATCATCCCCATTACCACCAATATCATCACACAAAGCATCATCAACATTCTCATCTTCACCACCACCATAGCTGCAGCTCTAAAATCCGCCTCTCGCCTCCCCGTGAGGAGTCCCCCCCGCCCCCCCCCCCCCCCCCCCCCCTGCCCCCTACCCTTCTCTCTCTCAATTCCCTTCCCGACCCAGGCCGGGCTATTGACGCCAATCGGCGCCGCTTGTTTTGCGTTTAAATTGACTTTCAAGTGGAGAGAGGAGAGCACGGGGAGAGCGGGGAGCGAGGGCTCGTAAATAAGCGGCCTCGCCAGCTGCCGCCGGAGACAATCCGTCCCGGTGAGTGTCCCGTCTCCACCGCCGCTACAAGGGGCCATCATCACCATTAGCAGCCGCCGTGAGCTCTCTACTGCTGGATGAAATCCTTCCCCTAAGTGCTGCCAATGTCCACGGCCCTGCGATGTGAGAAGCCACCCCGCACCTCCGATGAGCGCGGTTGGCTACGTACGGTGCGACACAAGTTGAACGTGCATGGAGGCATCAGCTGGCGCCACGCGAGGCGATGGCATCGCTTCATCCCCCGCGCGCGCCACGTGCCACGCGCCACGCACGACTCCGCGTCTCCTCTTCTTGGCGGACAACGCGACGTCTCCCTCCGATCCACGTGTTCATCCCCACACTCTCTCTCTCTCTCTGCCCCGCAGAGACATTCCACGCGCGCGCACCACTCTCGGCGCGTCCTGCTTAGCGCACTTGTGAACCTGCGCTGCATTCTCAATGGAGCCATCATCATCATCATCGTCGTCGTCATCTCTCGCGGTCCGTTGTGCAAGGCAGCCGCAGCATTGCTCATTAAATACATTGAGGATCATTCTAATAACAATGGCATCATCATCACTAGTATGGTGGTTGTTGTTGTTGTTCTCGGTGGAGCCCGGGGTTCAAGATCGCCGAGATCAGTGACCCCATTGCGGGAACAAAGTGAGTTGGGGGGGGGCGGTATACCCCCTCGCCCCCACCCCCCTCGCCCCCCTCCCTCTACCCCCTCCCGCCCGCGGGACACGATCCCGACCCCTGCGCCGAGTCTATTTGATGGACTAAGCGCTTCGAGTCAAGCGATCATCCCCTGTCGCCTCGTGCAGGGAGACCCGGATGGCGGTGAGTGGGTGGGTGGGGAGGGGTGGAAGGAGGTGAGGTGGAGGAGGCTACAGGAGGAGTCGCCGGTTGGTGTGGAAGTGTCTGTAGGGAAATTGTCATTTTTATCTCCGTGTGTCAACATCATGCGGTGGGAGCGGTGGGAGCACTGGTGAGCATCGAGCAATGAATCCGGCGACCCGAGTTGGACACGAGACTAGCTGGCCCGGGGTTCGTGACGCAGTGGCGCTAACCACTGCGTCCTACCCCCGTCAACACTCTATGCAACAAAACAAGACAAAGATCCCCTGTATAGCCTTCACATGATGTTTGGGCAAGTGCTGTGAGCGAGCACCTACGAAGGCCGGCACGGCACACGAGAGGGTGGGTGGCCAGCACCAAACCCAGCCGCCTTTGTCTCTCCAGTAGCGATGTTTTTACACACCGCGCCTGGTACTCGTTTTAGGCCGAGTCGGACCTAGGGGGAGGTCCAGGATCGTGTCAGACAATCGTCACCGATGTTGCCCGTGAGCGGGAATCGAACTCGGGTGGCCAGGTTTCGTAGCGCAGCGCGCTAACCGCTACACCACCACTCCCCACAACTCTATGTAACACACGTGCAGACACACACAACACACACACACACACCACACAAATATCACTGCAGTAGCTGCACGCTCATTATACTAAATTACAATGCCCCGCGTAAGAGACGGCGTCGTTCATTCATGCGCCGTAGGAAGACGAACGATGGAGATCCTCTGGCTGCTGTCCGAGTCAGGAGCAGTCGCCGCGTCTTTTCCGCCCGCCTCGTTGGCTGCACCGGAGCTCAACAATCAAAGACCCACACAAGAGCCTGGACAATCGTGTTCATTGCTATCGCCGTAATCAGTTAGCCCGCGGATCTGGCGTTCACACGAAGGCGGTTTTGTTCGGGGTAGGGCGACACTTCCAAACGCGCGTTCATTGATTGACAGCAGTGCAGTTGCAGAGTCTCAAAAGCGAAAACTTTGGTTTCATTTCCTCACCGCTCTGTACAATAACGACGGTGATTACTCGCCCGGGAAAGTCTTCACAGCGTCTCAAGACTCCTTCCCAGGAGGGCCCTGCTACATTGGGATGTTCTATTAGAAATAAACGTTTAGGTTTATGTGGAGGAAACCCGGGGAGGCCGGAGAAAACCCAGCACCTCCTGGCCGCAGCTCGCCTACAGCACGTGGCAAGCCTCGGTTCAGGTGGTCACCCTTCCGAGGAGTAACCAAGCTCAAAATCTGCTTGCCTTCCGAGATTCGGCGAGATGGTGATTGGGTGGAAGGGAATTCAGTAACTGATCAAAAAAAAAGATATACTACACTTTTAATACATCAACTTGAAATATGTTACGGCACAAACTGAGGTCAACTAGACATCGTTTAACCTTTCTGCCCTATCTCTCTGCCCTGTGGAAGGGCCATTGCCCGAAATGTCGGACAACGGGGTATATTTCTGGTTAAAACGTTGTTTTCTTCATTCTTATTTGGTGAGCACCATTAACAATCCGAGGTCGATCAAAGATATACCGATTTTAAATATACGATTTTAGTTTTTTTTCCAGCGAATAAGATATTCCCGCCATAGGAATGTGGAATTTCCACTGTTTGTTCTGGGAGCCCAACTTGGGATGTAAGCAGAGAGACACTTTGGACACGATTTAAATTAAATATAGAAGCGTCTGTGACCTCACAGTGCCAGCGCAAGTTCACACACGCGGCCGTGTGTACACACACTACCGCGTGTGCATTCACTACTGTGTGTGTGTGTACACACGTGTGTGTGTGTGTGTGTACACACGTGTGTGTGTGTGTGTACACACGTGTGTGTGTGTACACACGTGTGTGTGTGAGGATGGAGACACTTTTGACGTTGTTTCACGGGAATCTACATCGACTTCAATCATCCGAGTTGAAAGAATGGCAGACGAAGAAGAATTGCAACGACGAAAGCGAAGTCACGAACTTATAAAGGTCACGGAGATAATGAAGTAAAACATGTTTTAGATAATGAAGTAAAACATGTTTTAGATAATGAAGTAAAACATGTTTTAGATAATGAAGTAAAACATGTTTTAGATGATGAAGTAAAACATGTTTTAGATAATGAAGTTAAACATGTTTTAGATGATGAAGTAAAACATGTTTTAGATAATGAAGTAAAACATGTTTTAGATAATGAAGTAAAACATGTTTTAGATAATGAAGTAAAACATGTTTTAGATAGTGAAGTAAAACATGTTTTAGATAATGAAGTAAAACATGTTTTAGATAGTGAAGTAAAACATGTTTTAGATAGTGAAGTAAAACATGTTTTAGATAGAGAAGTAAAACATGTTTTAGATAATGAAGTAAAACATGTTTTAGATAATGAAGTAAAACATGTTTTAGATAATGAAGTAAAACATGTTTTAGATAATGAAGTAAAACATGTTTTAGATAATGAAGTAAAACATGTTTTAGATAGTGAAGTAAAACATGTTTTAGATAGTGAAGTAAAACATGTTTTAGATAGTGAAGTAAAACATGTTTTAGATAATGAAGTAAAACATGTTTTAGATAGTGAAGTAAAACATGTTTGGCGCATACGATGCTGAGACGACAGGGCCTGGAGAACGTGTGCATTACTGATATGACGTGTGCATTACTGACATGACGTGGGCATTACTGACATGACGTGTGCATTACTGATATGACGTGTGCATTACTGATGTGACGTGTGCATTACTGGTATGACGTGTACATTACTGATGTGACGTGTGCATTACTGATATGACGTGTGCATTACTGATATGACGTGTACTGACATGACGTGTGCATTACTGATGTGACGTCTGCATTCCTGATATGACGTGTGCATTACTGATGTGACGTGTGCATTACTGATATGACGTGTGCATTACTGATGTGACGTGTGCATTACTGACATGACGTGAGCATTACTGACATGACGTATGCTTTACTGATATGACGTGTGCATTACTGATATGACGAGTGAATTACTGATATGACGAGTGGATTACTGATGTGACGAGTGGATTACTGATATGACGAGTGCATTCTTGATATGACATGTGGTTTGCTGGTATGACACGTGGATTACTGATATGACGTGTGGATTGCTGATATGACGAGTGGATTACTGATATGATCTGTGTATTGCTGGTATGACGAGTGGATTACTGATATAACGTGTGGATTACTGATATGACGAGTGGATTACTGATATGACGTGTGGATTACTGATATGACGTGTGCATTACTGATATGACGTGCGCATTACTGATATGACATGTAGATTACTGATATGACGTGTGGATTACTGATATGACGAGTGGATTACTGATTGACGTGGACATAACTGTTATGACGTGTGCATTACTGATATGACGTGTGCATTACTGATATGACGTGTACTGACATGACGTGAGCATTACTGACATGACGTATGCTTTACTGATATGACGTGTGCATTACTGATATGACGAGTGAATTACTGATATGACGAGTGGATTACTGATGTGACGAGTGGATTACTGATATGACGAGTGCATTCTTGATATGACATGTGGTTTGCTGGTATGACACGTGGATTACTGATATGACGTGTGGATTGCTGATATGACGAGTGGATTACTGATATGATCTGTGTATTGCTGGTATGACGAGTGGATTACTGATATGACGTGTGGATTACTGATATGACGAGTGGATTACTGATATGACGTGTGGATTACTGATATGACGTGTGCATTACTGATATGACGTGCGCATTACTGATATGACATGTAGATTACTGATATGACGTGTGGATTACTGATATGACGAGTGGATTACTGATTGACGTGGACATAACTGTTATGACGTGTGGATTACCGATATGACGAGTGCATTACTGATATGACGAGTGGATTACTGATATGACGAGGGCTTTATTGATATGACATGTGGATTACTGATATGACGTGTGCATTACCGATATGACATGTGCGTTATTGATATGACATGTGGATTACTGATATGACGTGTGGATTACTGATATGACGAGTGCATTATTGATATGACATGTGGATTACTGATATGACGAGTGGATTACTGATATGACGAGGGCATTACTGATATGACGAGTGGATTACTGATATGACGAGTGCATTCCTGATATGACGTGTGCATTACTGATGTGACGTGGGCATTACTGATGTGACGTGTGCATTACTGATATGACGTTTGGTTTGCTTGTATGACACGTGGATTACTGATATGACGTGTGTATTACTGATATGACGAGTGGATTACTGATGTGACGTGTGCATTATTGATATGACGAGTGGATTACTGATATGACGTTTGGTTTACTGGTATGACACGTGGATTACTGATATGACGTGTGGATTACTGATATGACGAGTGGATTACTGATATGGCGTGTGCATTACTGATATGACGAGTGGATTACTGATATCACGTGTGGATTGCCGGTATGACGTGTGCTTTGCTGGTATGACACGTGGATTACTGATATGACGTGTGGATTGCTGATATGACGAGTGGATTACTGATATGACGTGTAGATTACTGATATGACGAGTGGATTACTGATATGACGTGTGGATTGCTGGTATTACGTGTGGTTTGCTGGTATGACACGTGGATTACTGATATGACGTGTGGATTTCTGATATGACGTGTGGATTACTGATATGACGTGTGCATT